TTGGTATTTTAATCTCTATAATACTCACATTAAGTCGTATGGTCTGTGTGTGGTGCTGAGTTTAACACACATTAATATTCCTTTAAGGTATTTTGATCTATTTGAGTGTTTCTACACTTTTCCAGTGCAGATACTCGGACTTTCACCGCGTATCTGCTGAGTTTACAGACACTGTGCGGGGTTTTAACGCATTCTCTGTGATATTATTGCGGCTCTTTGCACAAATATGAGCTGAGGTTAAAAGCAGCAGCAGCAGGTAACATGCAGGATTAAATCCATGTCTAATTGTGCCTACCTGGTGAGTTTTTGGCCCCCTTTGGTCCGCCCTGATCCAGCTCTTCTTCTTCTCTTTCTCCTTCTCCTGGACTGTTGATCAAACACCGGCTCGTCAGTGCAGATGAGCCGCTCTCAGCAGAGGGATCCCCCCGGACACAACCAGGCACAGCCAGGCGCGTAAAACCAAAAATATCAACCCGAGGGAAGAAACTGAAAAATTATTTCCAGGACAAAAAGAAGCCAATGACAACCGATTGTCTTGCGTGCTCGACCCGAGCGACACTCCTCTCGTCTTCCTCTCTTTCTGGAAACTTTTTCTTTCCTTCTGCCGTTGAGAGACAGAAAACAAACCGCGCAGAATCTGAGTGAGACGCCGCTGACCTTCGTGCGCCTTTTTGGTGCGTCTTTCTCCTCCAAGTGTGTGTTGCGTGTGTGTGCGGGTATAATGAATGTGTGTGAGTGTGTGAGTGTGTGTGTGAGTGTGTGTGTGTGAGTCCTCTCTCAGCGTCTCTCCACTCCCCTGCACTGTTCACCACTGTCAATCCGCACGCACACACACACACATCCGGCTGGCGTGACAAAATAAAAGCACCGCTCATGAGCGTAAATAGAGGCTGGATTCAAGTGTAAAAGCATGTGAATATATCCTCTAAATTAAAATATACTCCTATAAAATGTGTACATACTCCTATTCCTGTTTTATTTTCTACAGATAGAAAGAATAAAATTACATAAAAATACTCATCAGGCCACAGAATGACAGCTGTCAGTGTGACAATATATTATTGGATTATTCTTACATTACTTTGTTCTATTAGTAATCTAAAACATTTCATCTATAATGCATCATATTTTATAAACTG